GCTGGTGGGAATGCAGACTGGTGCAGCCACTATGGAAGACAGTATGGAGTTTCCTCAAAAAACTACAAATGGAACTCCCATTTGACCCTGTGATCCCACTTCTAGGAATATATCCCAAGAAACCAGAAACACCAATCAGAAAGGATATATGCACCCATATGTTCATAGCAGCACATTTCACCATAGCTAGAATCTGGAAACAGCCTAAGTGCCTATCAGTAGATGAATGGATTAGAAAACTGTGGTACATCTACACGATGGAGTACTATGCTGCTGTAAAAAAGAAGGAACTCTTACCATTTGCAACGGCATGTGTGGAACTGGAGAGCATTATGCTAAGTGAAATAAGCCAGTCAGTGAAGGAAAAATACCACATGATCTCACTCATTCATGGATAATAGAGACCATTATAAACTTTTGAACAATAAGTGATACAGAGGCAGAGCAGCCTCAAACAGATTGTCAAACTGTTGCGGGAAGGCCGGGGAGGGGTGGGGGCAGGATGGAGGGGTGTAAGAGATCAACCAAAGGACTTGTATGCATGCATATAAGCATAACCAATGGACATAAGACACTGGGGGGTAGGGGAGGCCAGTGGATTGTCAAGGGCTGGGGAAAAAAAGGGACACATTTGTAATACCCTTTGTAAGAGTGTAAGCAATAAAATAAAATTAAAAAAAAGAATTATGTTGATCATTATATCCCACATATGAGTGAGATCATGTGATATTTATCTTTCTCCAACTGCCTTTTTTCTCTTAGTATAATGCTCTCCAGTTCCATCCATGCTGTTGCAAATAGTAAAAGTTCCTTCTTTTTTATAGTGGCATAGTATTCCATTGTGTAGATGTACCACAGGTTTTTAATCCACTCATCTGCTGATGGGCACTTAGGCTATTTCCAAATCTTACCTAGTACAAATTGTGCTGCTATGAACATAGGGGTTCATATATCCTTTTTGATTGGTGTTTCTGGTTTCTTGGGATATAGTCCTTGAAGTGGGATTACTGATTCAAATGGGAGTTCATTTTTAACTTTTTGAGGAAACTCCATACCGTCTTCCACAGTGGCTGCACCAGTCTGCACCAGTCCACCAGCAGTGCAAGAGGGTTCCTTTTTCTCCACATCCTCGCCAGCACTTGTCATTTGTTGATTTGTTGATGATAGCTATTCTGACAGGTGTGAGATGGTATCTCATTTTTGTTTTGATTTGCATATTTCCATCTCTCAGATGATTATTGACTTTAAGAATGTTTTCACGTGTCTCTGGGCCTTCTGTATGTCCTCTTTCAAAACGTATCTATTTAGATCCTTTGCCCTTTTTTGTTTGGATCATTTATCTTCCTTTTGTTAAGTTGTATCAGTTCTCTGTAAATTTTGGAGATTAAACCCTTATTGGAAATATCATTGGCAAATATGTTCTTACATACAGTGGGCTTTCTTGTTGTTTTGTTGATGGTTTCTTTTGCTGTGCAGAAGCTTTTTATTTTGATGTAGTCACATTTGTTTATTTTCTCCTTAGTCTCCATTGCCCTAGGAGCTGTGTCTGTAAAGATATTGCTTCGACATATGTCTGCTATTTTGCTGCCTATGGAGTCTTATAGGATTTTTATGGTTTCCCATCTTACATTTAAGTCCTTTAGTCATTTTGAGTTTGTTTTTGTGTATGGTGTAAGTTGGTGATCTAGTTTCATTTTTTTGCATGTCTGACCAAATTTCCCAGCACCATTTATTGAAGAGACTGTCTTGACTCCATTGTATGCTCTTGCCTCCTTTGTCAAATATAAATATGTTTAATGTAAATATATTTGCACAATTAAATGGAAGCTTATTAAAGTAAGGAAACCTATCTTGACTTTTCCTGAATTTCTGAATAATGTAGTAGATTTTAAATGACAGAACTGCATGGTGTGTGATGTTGGGTTTGCTGCTCAGCTCCTTCCTTTCCCTTTAGCTGTCACTTTCCTCCTTGCACAATATCATTCTTTATTGGAGTCTCACACCCTTCTCCAAGATTTCATTCCAGTCTTTAAATTTGATAAACCAGGCAGAGGTTCCTCAAAGTGACAGAATAAGTTAAGTACAAATTTCATCTCATTGTTCTTACTTGAAACAAACCAGTTTTGCTTTTAAGAATTTTCAGTATGCTTTATCTAAGAAGATGTGAAAAATAAGTGTTTTTTCCTCTTTCAACAAACCCATTCCATATTTTTATTTGAGTACTTTAAAATTCTTCCTTTTTCTAATTATTTTCTTTTTTAAAGTTAAAAAGTTTCCTTTGTTGAGGTGTAACCCACTCCATGCTTTTGTTTTAATTAGTAGCTTAACAAATAATTAGACAATTGTGTATCTCTGAATAGCACAGAATTCTGACAGACCAGTTTCACCAAAGTCTTCTCGGGGAATGTTTAAAGTATTCTCACAATAAGGTGGAGCCAAAGTGATTTTACTGGTAACTACATGGCTAGAAACAATGAACACCTTATAATATAAATCCTGCTTACTGATTTCTAGTAATTTCGTTTTTTAATTTTCCTTTCAGGCTTACTGCAGCCTCAGATGTTTTTCATTTGTGTAGCAATTTTGTACTTGAGATCACTTTGACCTTTACTATCTTATTTGATCTTTATTAAAACCTGGTGAAATAAAAGTGACCACTGCGATAGCCTTCACTGATAGGAAAATAAACTACTCTCAAGAAGACTAGGGGACTTGCCCACAGTCACATTTGTGGAGAGGCCAAGTATTGAGCCCAGACTTCCAGTTCTCTCTTCCCTCTGTTACATGCACACTGTCTCTCCACAGAGCCTTCAGAAACACACAGTTCTTGCAGTAACCTGAATGGTTTTTTTTTAAAATATGTTTTTATTGAAGAAGGGAGAGAGAGAAAAACATTGATGTGAAAGAAATATTGATTGGTTGTCTCCCACATGAGATCTGACCAGGGATGGACACCAAAACTTGGGCATGTGCCCTGACCCAGCATGGAACTAGTGACTTTTTGGTGCATGGGATGATGTTCAACCAACTGAGCCACAAAGATCAGGGAGCCCACGTATATGTTTTTGATATCTGCATAAATAATGAGAACAGCATAGTTGGGACCAGTCATGATCTGGTAGGTGGATGGAAAGGCAGATTGCTACATTGGTAATATTTGTACCACTCCATAATGTGTAAACACACATTGGAGTATATTTTATAAACATTTGCAAAGTAAATATCTGATAACCTGTATAACTGTACTTTTCTATTTTTGAAACCCTAGTTCAGTTCTTTTTATGTGAATACTTATCCTGTCTCCTTGGATGCTTGCACTATTAATTTAAAAATGGGAAAAGGCTTTAGATAAAAGTAAATGGACTGTGTAGGATTAATCCTAGGTCACTTTACCTGCAATTATGAATGTTTTTTTTTTCATTTTTAACTACTTTCAGTTACAAAGACATATTAACACAGAAAAAAGCCATTATAAACTCTTTAATTTCAAAATGCCTTGACTAAATTTATGAAATATGTATATTTAAGGTCAATCATTTTATAATTTGTCATTGCTTGGAATGTGTATTAGGTTTTTTTGTGAGTGATCCACATCTACTTAATAGTCTGAGTAATGTTCTCTTTGAATAATTCTCTACTAAGGAGTATTTTTTAATAAAAAATATTTTCTTTTTAGCTCTATCAGGGTATAATTGACAAATAAAATTATAAAATATTTAAATTGCACATTTTAAAAGGATTCCTCCTATTTTATCACTTCACATATTTTATCCTTCTTTTTGTGAGAACATTTAAGTCCTATTCTCTTAGAATGAACTCTCTTTTATATTACACAGTATTATCAACTATAGTCACCATACCATTAGTTCCTCCATTCTTATTCATCTTATATATTTGTTTTAGATTGAGTTTATGAAGCTGCAGTTTGTAAGTTGACCATTCTCAAAACCTTTTATTTATAAACAGTTGTGAATTGGCTTCCTATTGTGTGTGGATCGTTATGCTTGCTCTGTGTAGGTGGGAGAAGAGGGAGAATGATTATTCTGCTTGCTTTTGGAATTCTACTTGATTTTACAAAATGTTTAGCAAACATTCCCATCAAATTTATAAATTACATAGCTATGTAAAAAAACATATTTTTATTGATTTCAGAGAGGAAGTGAGAGGGACAGAGAGTTAGAAACATCAATGGTGAGAGAGAAGCATTGATTGTATGCCTTCTACACACCTCTATTGGGGATCAAGCCTGCAACCCAGGCGTGTGCCCTTGACCAGAATTGAACCCAGCACCCTTCAGTCTGCAGGCTGAAGCTCTATTCACTGAGCCAAATAGGCTAGGGCAATTACATAGCTATTTTAAGAAGTGGGTTTTTTTTGTTTTGTTTTTTACCCAATTTTAGATTTTACATTATTTCAGGTGGCAAATATAGGTACCTCTGATTTTGAAGTTTTTTGCAAACATAAATATTTCTACATTTCGAAGAATACTTCCTATTATGAATAACAATATTTCTATCACCAATCTGAAGATGAAGAAAGGGAGGAATGGTGATGTTTCCCCCTCAGGATACCAGTCTGTTGCTGACAGAGCCAAATTATAAGTAAAAAAATCTTTCTTTTTCACTAACTATTAATCATGCTTGCATTGTTTAAAAAGTCATGAGTAGCCCTAGCCAGTTTGGCTCACTGGATAGAGCGTCGGCCTGAGGACTGAGGGGGTCCCAGGTTCGATTCAGGTCAAGGGCGTGTACCTTGGTTGCCGGCACATCCTCAGTAGGGGGTGTGCAGGAGGCAGCTGCTTGATGCTTCTCTCTCATCGATGTTTCTAACTCTCTATCCCTCTCCCTTCCTCTCTGTAAAAAATTAATAAAATATATATTTTAAAAAAAGTCATGAGTAGCTCTCATCCCTAAGTAGAAAAGGAAAAAAAAATGAACAACTATGAAAAAGGGAGTGAGTTTACCTTAGAGTAAATTTAAATGTATTTCTCTCTTCTTTAGGAGAGAGTTATGTGTGTGGCTCAATAGAGCCTTTCAAGAAACTGGAGTACACCAAGAACGTGAACCCAAACTGGTCTGTGAATGTCAAAACCACCTCAGCATCCCGGGCAGTGTCATCACTGGCTACTGCCAAAGGGAGCCCTTCAGAGGTGCGGGAGAATAAGGATTTCATTCGGCCCAAACTTGTCACCATCATCAGAAGTGGGGTGAAGCCACGGAAAGCTGTCCGGATTCTGCTGAACAAGAAAACTGCTCATTCCTTTGAGCAGGTTCTCACTGATATAACTGATGCCATCAAGCTGGACTCAGGAGTGGTGAAACGCCTGTACACCCTGGATGGTAAACAGGTAAGAGAAGTATTGTGATATGACCTTGACTGTATAGGCAAGAACCAGGGATGTGAGGAATTTATGTGGCATGTGGTGGGAATCTGAAACATACATTTACTGACGTTTAGAGAGTTGGGTCATTTAACCAACAAATACATAGGTGCTGCTCTCAAACCAGTCCAAGGATAGTGTTAAGACAGGATTAACCATAGGACTAAAGTAAAAATGCCCATTTCTCTAGCTTAAATGATTACTCAGAGATTTCTACTTTTTCAGTTATGAATTGCTTAACATAATGGTGCTTTTTAGCCATCTACTTTCAGTTTTGTCATATAGTAATCTCTTTTGGCCTTGAGCATGTCTGAGATTTGGAGATAAGCTCTGACCAATAGAGAAAAATCTAAATTCTATCTTTGGCCTACATAATATTTTATAAAATTTACTGTATTAGTAATGTTTACTAGTGAGAGATTTATTTAAATTTTATAGATTTTTGAGTGCATATCTAAGGAATAAAGTATTTCCATCTGATGGCATATTTCTAGAACATTATACATCTTGTTTTGAAAACATAATTTGAGAATTAAAATGAAGGGAGTCTTTTCAGCTATGGAATACCATCAGTTGACTTGGATGAGTGGATTTTTTTAATATTTTGTTTTATTGCTTAAAATATTACAAAGAGTATTACATATGTCTCCTTCCCCCCCCCCCCCCTTGACATTCCCCCGGCCTCCCCTACACCCCAGTGTCTTGTGTCCATTGGTTATGCTTATACTCATGCATACTAGTCCTTCGGTTGATCTCTTACCCCTCCCTTCAGCTCCCAACCCTCCCCGGCCTTCCTGCTGTAGTTTGACAGTCTGTTCCATGCTGCTCTGTCTCTGTATCTATTTTTGTTCATCAGTTTATAATGGTCTCTATAATCCATAAATGAGTGAGATCATGTGGTATTTTTCTTTCATTGACTGGCTTATTTCATTTAGCATAATGCTCTTCAGTTCCATCCATGCTGTTGCAAGTGGTAAGAATTCCTTCTTTTTTACAGCAGCATAATATTCCATTGTGTAGATGTACCACAGTTTTTTAATCCATTCATCTGCTGATGGGCACTTAGGCTGTTTCCAGATCTTCACTATGGTAAATTGTGTTGCTACGAACACAGGGATGCATATATGCTTTCTGATTGGTGTTTCTGGTTTCTTGGGATATATTCCTAGAAGTGGGATCACAGGGTCAAATGGGAGTTCCATTTGTAGTTTTTTGAGGAAACTCCATACTGTCTTCCATAGTGGCTGCACCAGTCTGCATTCCTGGGAATGCAGTGCATGAGTGTTCCCTTTTCTCTGCATCCTCCCCAGCACTTGTCCTTTGTTGATTTGTTGATTATAGCCATTCTGACAGGTGTAAGATGATACCTCATTGTTGTTTTGATTTGTATCACTCAGATGATTAGTGACTTTGAGCATGTTTTCATATGTCTCTTGGCTTTCTGAATGTCCTCTTTTGAAAAGTGTCTATTTAGGTCCTTTGCCCACTTTTTGATTGGATTGTTTATCTTCCTTTTGTTAAGTTGTATGAGTTCCCTATAAATGTTGGCGATTAAACCCTTATCGGTGATAACATTGGCAAATATGTTCTCCCATGCAGTGGGCTTTCTTGTTTTTTTGTTGATGGTTTCTTTTGCTGTGCAGAAGCTTTTTATTTTGATGTAGTCCCATTTGTTTATTTTCTCTTCAGTTTCCAATGCCCTAGGAGCAGTATCATTGAAGAAATTGCTTCGGCATATGTCTGAGATTTTGTTGCCTTTGGATTCCTCTAGTATTTTTATGGTTTCCCGTCTTACATTTAAGTCGTTTATCCATTTTGAGTTTATTTTTGTGTATGGTGTAAGTTGGTGGTCTAGTTTCATTTTTTTTGCATGTATCTGTCCAATTTTCCCAACACCATTTATTGAAGAGACTGTCTTGACTCCATTGTATGTTCATGCCAGATGAGTGGATATTTTAATGTGAGGTGGTCAGATGAATTTAAAGAAAGTCTTATGTGGACTTTTGTAAAGGTTTGACAGATCCTGATGGTGTGCTGAATAAAAAAACACTGACATAGGTACAGTGAGATTCGCTAGTCTATGAGAGTTTACCAGTATCTTTTTGGTTAAGATCATAGGTTTTAGCATACTATTTTTGCTTGAATTTTAGTTTTTAATGTGGATCTGTCCAAATGATTTTTAAAAATTATTTTGAAGGATAATTTGAATCATTTGTATATAAAGTATTAAAAATAAAAACTAGATGCATATATTAAAAGGTTGATCTTATTAAATAGAATAATATAAGTTCTTGAAGGTTAACACATTCAAACTATGAATAGAAATAGATGCAAATACTAGAAAGAATGCTAGTTGTGAAAGAATTCTTCCCCTAGGTATCCATTCAAATGCTCTAAATTATAAAATTTATTAGGAAAAAAGAAATAACTGCCAGTTATTCATTTATACTTGCCAATCTTCTGCTTGTCTCCTAAAACTTCCCCCAAGTTTCTTGTGGATAAGGATTCTGTGGAATGCAACTCCCCAGTTTCTAGTTCTAAGAGGGTAATAGCCTGAGTGTCACCAATATATCAGTAATCAAAAAGTCCACTACTGCCTGGTCAGTTAGAGCAACAATAAAATGGTAAGGTTTCGTATTAAACATTTAAGGTTCCCTCTATAATGTGTGACTCAACTATTTTGTAGTTCTGCATTTTTGTGTATTGAATTTTCTCAGAACGGGAGTTTAACTGTTTTCATAAAAAGTAAAATTTACAGCAAAGATTACATGTTGATAAATCCTCTCCCTCCCTATTCACTTCAGAATTTTGTAGGTTTCAAATTGCTACACACTGATTTTAAGAGTCAGCTTTAGCTATTTTAGTAAACTCTTACATTAACTGATCATTTGTGTGTTTAAGAATGAGTTTCTAAAATAGATATTTTGATGTTCTTAATAGTTTTATTCTTTTTAGGAATTTATATGTAGTTTATGGCTGGTTTTGCTATGGTTTAATAATCCAATGTAATGGGGGGAAAAATCAAGGTTTAATGTTAAAATACTAAGATTCAAACTTTGATTCAGCTGCAGATTATTTATGTTTTTAGCAAATGACCCTAATTGAGTCTGTTTATACTCATCAGTAAAATACGGCTAAAATGATCACCTCCATTTCATAGGATCCTTGAGGGATCAACTATGATAATACATATAAAAGCAATTTTGAACTATAATAATAATATGATAGCTTTATTGAACATTATTCTATCTTTTAATATGTTTTTATTGATTTTTAGAGAGAGAGGAATGGAGACGGAAAAAGATAAATGATGTGAGAGAAAAACATTCATCGGTTGCCTCCTGTACACACTCTGACCAGGGACTGAACCTGCAACCTGGGCATGTGCCCTGACCTGGAATTGAACTGGCAACCTTGTGGTTCAGGGGATGATGCTCAACCAATTGAGACACACTGGCCAGGGCTTGAGCATTATTCTAAATGCTTTCTGTGTGTTAGCATGTCTAATCTTCACAGCTTGATTTTTATCCCTACTTAACAGAACAAGATACTAAGGCACAGAATTTGTAAAAAACAACAACAAAAATACACATGCTAAAAAAAACTAACATGTCTAAGACCACATAGATATAAATGGCAGAGTTGGCATTTGAACCAATCTCCAGAGCTTGTGCTCATAACCACTGTACATAGCAGATTATATTAAAGAGCCAAACAGAAGTAAAAGAATTAAGAAGACTTTTCAAGTGGATAATGTGTCCAAAAAAATCATCTGAAAGACTTTCTCTATTTTTCTCCTGCAGTCGTTCTACTGACAGTTGTATTCAACTATTATTGTTATTATTTTACATTTATCTTTATTGTTGAAAGTATTACAGATGTTCTCCTTTTTTCCCCATTGTCCTCCCTCAAGCCTTCACCACACTATTGTGTCCATGGGTTATGCATCTCCTATATAATAAAATAGAAACATTCAAATTAACCATCTCTCTGTTATGCTCAAGCCACACCCACCAGCCACGCCCACCAGTCAATTAAGAGTGAGTATGCAAATTAACCCAACTAAGATGGTGGTGGCCACGGAGCTGGAGCGAGCAGGAGGCTTGGGTTGCCCCTGGCGATGGAGGAAGCCAAGCTTCCCGCCTGCCCTGGGCTCTGCTAAAGGCTACAAAGTTTTAATTATAGAAGATAAATAAATCCCAGAAAAAAGAAAAAGAAAAAAAAGAGAGGCTGGGAGCTTGGGTAGCCGGGGGGCGTGGCCAGCCTGAAAATGGCCATCAGCCCCTCACCAAGACTGGCCAGGCACCCCAGCGTGACTTCCCCATCCTGCAGGGGCTGCGGCCAGCCTGCAAATAGCCATCAGCCCCTCACCCAGGCTGGCCAGGCACCCCAGCAGGGATCTTCACCTGAAGGGGGTGTGGCCAGCCTGAAAACAGCCCTCAGCTCCTCACCCAGGCAGGCCACACCCCCATTTGGTGAGGATCCCCGCTTGGGGGCTAGGCCAACCTGCAAACAGCCATCAGCCCCTCACCCAGGCTGCCCAGACACCCGAGTGGGGACCCCCCAACCCTGAAGGGGGTGTGGCCAGCCTGAAAACAGCTCTCAGCCCCTCACCCGGGCTGACCAGGCACCCCAGTGGGACCCCCCACCCTGATCCGGGACACCCTTCAGGGCAAACCAGCCGGCCCCCATCCGTGCACCAGGCCTCTATCTACACTAATAAAAGAGAAACATGCAAATTGGTGTCACTCTGCTACGCCCACCAGCCAATCGGATGAGTATACATGTGCAGAGCGAAGCCTGAAGGTGCTGGCTGGACTGAAGACTGAAGACTTAAGAAGACTGAAGCCAAGCCTCGCTGTGACTGGACCAAAGGCCTGGGTCCTGGGTGCCGGAGGAAAACCGGTGCTGGCAGCCAGGTGAAGGAAGACTTATTGCGTGAATCTTCGTGCAGTGGGCTTCTAGTA